ATTGATTTGTTGACTATTGTGTACTTTTGTAATGAAATTTTTAATATTGCGTTTCAGTAAAGCCTGATATACAGTTCAATACGAGCGTGAGCGTGAGCTTTTTATTTTGACCAATATCTTCGTTATTACTCAACTTTTTGCTATAGTTAAAACATGAAAAGATAGAGAATTAAAATATCTTTCAGAATGATAGAATAAAAACTAATTTAAAATGCATAATGTGCCTTTTTTCGAGCGCACACTCAACTGTGTGCGTACGCAAAGCATTCGCATGTGAACGGCAAGTTTTGACAGATGTGTGTCAGCGTCCATAAGAATACAAATGGAATTCTTTGCCTTTGCGAACGTTCACGCTCACGCTCGCATTGAACTGTATATCAAGCTTAATGCGGAGGTAGAACGCGTATTTAATGCCATGAATTTGTTAAAATCTAAGCTAAGAAATAGAATGCCGACAAATACAATTAAATTTGTTAAAATCTAATCTGATGAACATAGTCGATATTGATATGTATAAAATAATATATTTAAGAGTATTTTTTACTTAAAATACGTAAATATTTATGCATGCATAAAGCTAAAACAGTGACAAGAAGCTGTGAAAATGGTTAAATATTATGAAATAAAAATTTCCTCCTTTGGGTAGTTCCCTGAATTTTTTACATACATCAAATATAGACACATTGGGGAACTTGAACCTTTCATAGTGTTCATATATGTATGCTTTTGACTAAATTCCAAAAACAAAACCAAGAGCTATTTATTATCTGGTCTTTAAAGACATTTAAAAATTATTTAAAACTCTTATAGAATTCAGATTATTATTGTATTTACAAGCAAATCACAGCAACCAGCTGTTTGGATTATCATATTAATCAATTTCTTTTCTTTTTGTTAGTTTTTGTAAACGATGCTGACAACGAGCCAGCAGCAAAAGCTGTCACAGTAGTAACAACATACCTCAAGAAGAATCCCAGTTATGGTATCTCGATACAAATTGACCAAGTTGAGACAAATAAAACCGACGCTAAATCATTATTGGAGTCAAGTAAGTACTAAATTATTCCTATAAACAAGTATGTTAACATTGTCGCCACTACAACATATGCTAAAATTAGAAATTTTTACTTTTTCAAAGCTTGCCAGTTTGGTCACAGAGACATTACAAAACCAAATTGCGCATATTAACTTAAATAGAGTTTTTTTCGAGATTTTCTGTGGAGTTTTCTCATTAATCCATAAAGAAACAAAAATGTTTCTATGTTAAGGTGCCGATATACTCGTACACATATCTACTTATTTCTTCTTCTTCTGTAATGGCGCTGAAACCGCCTAAGCGATTCTGGCCGAGTATAGTCATTTCTCTTCTGTTCCAACTGACACCAATTGGAAAGCCCAAGTGAAGCCAAGTCCTTCTCCACCCGGTCTTTCCAACGCAGAGGAAGCCCTCCTCTTCCTCTGTTATCGCGGCTCACGATGAATACTTTCAGAGCAGGAGCGTTTCTGTCCATTTGAACGACATGGCCAAGCCAGCGGAATTTTAATTCGCTGCACTACGTCTATTCGTTGTAAAGCTTATACAGCTCATCGCTAAAACATCTGCGGTCTTCCCCATCGCCAACGCGTAAAGGTCCGTAAATCTTTCGCAGAATCTTTCTTTCGAAAACTCCAAGATCGGCTTCATCAGATGTTTTCATTGTCCATGCCTCCGGGCCATACACCAGCACAGGCATGATGAGTGACTTATAGAGTGTGATTTTTGTACGACGGGAGAGGACTCTACTTCTCAATTGCCTACTCAGTCCAAAGTAGCACTTGTTGGCAAGCGTGATTCTCCGTTGGATTTTAAGGCTGTTATTATTATTGGTGTTAATGCTGGTTCCCAAATAAACGAAGTCGTCCACTTTTTCAAACAATTAACTGTCAACAGCGACGTGTGTGCTAAAACGCGTATGCTCTGACTGTTTTTGTGATGACAGGAGATATTTCGTTTTGTCCTCGTTCACCACCAAACCCATTCGCTTTGCTTCTCTATCAAATCCCGAGAAGGCAGAACAGACGTAGCCCTTCTTTTTACCGATAATATCGATGTCGCTGGCATTCGCCAGCAATTGTACGCTCTTGTAAAGTGACTATTCCGTTCAGTTCTGCGGCTTTTATTATCTTCTCCAACGTCAGGTTAAAGAAATCACACGAGATGGAGTCGCCTTATCTGAAACTTCGTATGGTGTCTATGGTATCAAACGGCTCGGAGTGGTCCCTCCCAATTCTGACAGAGCTGATGGTATTGCTGAACGTCATTTTACACAGCCGTATTAGTTTCGCGGGGATACCAAATTCAGACATCGCGGCATAAAGACAACTTCTCCGTCTTCGCACAATACACTCGATAAGACCTTATAGCTTATGCTTAGAAGGCTGATCCCGTGGTAGTTGGCAGAGCACACTTGAATGCCAGTCGTCGGGCATGGGTTCATTTGACCATATCTATTCATGCACCACATTAGCTCCTCGCCGCCGTACTTGAATAGCTCGGCTGGCAGGCCGTCATCACCAGCAGTTTTGTTGTTTTTCAGCCGCGTAATCGTTATAGTCAGGCGGTGAGACATCGACTCCATCGACATCGACTGGGGGCTCGGAAAAGCGTGGAAAGTGCTCCCTCTATAATTTACGTACGTTCTGGAGATTAGTCTCTAGGTCGCCGTTAGTCTCTAGGTTCCGTTAGTCGCCTAACTCTCCGATTCCGATTCGGGGGTTTTTTCTGTCGGCCAGCATCTCAAGATCTTCGCACTCACGTATTTCGGCCTATCTCTTCTTATTGTGGCAAATACGTCGCGCTTCCTTCTTCAGTTCCCTATAACGGTCCCATCTAGCTTGCGTTGCTCCCGGTCGCAGCGCGGCCCTATAGGCGGGGTCTTTTTTCCCTGCGGCTTCTTGACATTCCTCATCTTACCAGTTGTTCTTTCGGGCTCGCTGAAATCCAACTACTTCTTTGGCGGCGGTACTTAATGGTCGGGAAATGTGGTTCCACTGCTCGCGTATGTCGGATTGTTGAAGAGGCGGGTGCGTATCTTGGCTACAACAAGATAGTGCTCCGAGTCGATGTTTGGCCCTCGGAGTGTACGTACATCTAAAACGCTTGAAGTATTCCTTCCGTCTATCACCACATGATCGATTTGGTTTCTCGTTTTTTCGATCTGGAAACAGCCATGTAGCTTGGTGGATGTTCTTATGCTGGAACCTAGTCTACATATTACCATGTTTCGGGCCCTGGCGAAGTCGATCAGCCTCAGTCCGTTATCGGACGTTTCGTCGTGGAGGCTGAATTTTCCGACGGTGGCGCCAAAGATCCCTTCCTTGCCCACCTTGGCTTTAAAATCGCTGAATACGATTTTGATAACGTGTCAGGGGCAGCGCTCATATGTACGCTCCAAACGTTCATAGAAGAGATCCTTGGACGTCTTGTCCTTCTCTACCGTCGGGGCATGGGCGCAGATGAGCGAGATGTTGAAGAATCTCGCTTTGATGCGGATTGTGGCTAAACGTTCTTCCACGGGGGTGAACGCCAGTTCTCGGCGGCGGAGTCTCTCTCCTACCACGAATCCAACACCGAATTCGCGCTCCTTTACATTGCAACTGTAGTAGACGTCGCAAGGCCTCACGCTTACCTTGCCTTGCCCCATCCATCGAATTTCTTGGATGGCGGTGATGTCAGCCTTTGTCTTCCCGATGACATCAACCTGCCGGGCGGAGGCATCTCCCCCATTAAGGGTCCGGATATTCCAGGCGCATACCCTCAAATCATAGTCCTTTACGTACGCTTGCCGTGGTCCTCTTAAAAAAAAGCGGAGCTCATCCGAGGCTTTCTGAACTTTCTCATTGGGCGGGATTATAACGTGGCGGGACCCACACCTAGCGCACGCGAAGTTTTACGGCTTCGCACTTTAGCTCGCTCCCAAACGGATGTTTGATTGAGTATGCGTGGATATAAATATCCGGACGTTGTGACCTGCGAATTGAACCGTACGCTCAATAATCACTTCTGGCCACTCCCAGGTGAATGGTAGTCAAAGGTTTTCCACTTCTGCGCACGGAACCATCCTCTATCTACTAATTTACTAATTTACGTTTCATTAATTTCTTTACAGTTTGTTCAAAGTACGCGGAGAGTATTGATCGTAAACAGCCGCCTCATATCGTATTCGATACTACAAAATCGGGAATAGCCTCGGAGACAGTTAAGTCGTTCACACAAGCACTGGGTTTACCTACCGTCAGTGCTTCATATGGGCAGGAAGGTGATTTGAGGCAATGGCGCGACTTGGATGAGAGTAAACAAAAATATTTGCTGCAGGTAATGCCTCCGGCCGACCTAATACCGGAAGTTGTTCGGAGCATTGTTCGAAAGATGAATATAACAAATGCAGCTATATTGTATGATGACACATTCGTCATGGATCATAAATACAAATCCTTATTGCAAAATATACAAACCCGTCATGTAATTACGGGAATTGCTAAGGAGGGAAAGCGAGAACGCGAGGAACAAATCGAGAAATTACGAAATTTGGATATAAATAATTTTTTCATATTGGGGAATCTAATGTCCATACGCATGGTTTTAGGTAAGATTGTTTTGGGAAAATTAGTAGATGTTTTGTATTTCCGGAAGTCACATAGGTCTGAATTTTGTTCTTAGGGCAGAGGAAAATGTCTGAATTTTGGAAAGTTTGATTAAAATATCGCACACTGGGAAAACACTATGGATGTGATATCCATAGAAATTGATGACTATGTCTATCAATGAGATATCATTAACTATACATGTGATATTCATATTAAATACTTAATGGGAGACAAATAAAATTTTATAGATAAGTATCCAGTCAAAATGGATATCCCATCCATAATTAATGGATGGGACGGGACTGCCAACTTTCATTGACATCACATCCATTGTGTTTTCTCCGTGTAATGCCTGTATGTAAATAGAAACATAAATCCCTCTAGTACTGCTGGAGTCAATCGCTACTTTTGAACCACTACTGCACCGACTCCTAGGTAAGTAGTTACTCTATTAACTCATGGTCGTGTAGAGTCGAGCCAGTCGGAAGCAAAACCCTCCAGTACTGCTGGAGTCAATCGCTACTTTTGAACCGGTACTGCACCGAGTCCTAGGTAAGTAGCTACTCTATTAATCCGTGGTAGTTCACATGGTAGTGCAGAGTCGATCCAGTCGGAAGCAGAATAGAGGGCACCCATAAATCACGCAAGTGGCTACTTTAGTAACTCCCGGTAATGCAGAGAGAGCCGATGGTGACTACTGCCTAGGATATTGCCTTGTAAAAGTAAACGATGAAATACATTGCAAGTAGTCGGTCGGTAATTGACTGAGTTTACCAGGTAACTACCGATTCATCAGTCCTGTAGTCGCTCCTCCGTACTGCAGGGATACGACTGCGAATAATACATACATATACGAAATATCTCTTTTTTTTATTATTACCTCCATTTTATTTATTAGCTCGGGATGTAACTATGTAATATTGATGCGCCTAAAAGATGCAGAGATTTCTACTATTAAGTTACATACCTGATGACAGTACGAATGGAAATTATAATAGCGGGGTTTTAGTTTTTTAAACTATAATTTTATTTATTAACATTGACAATGAAGTTATTATTTTGTAACGAATTGCCGTCCTTGCCAAATTCTGTTTGAAGATATGAAAATTATCGAAAAAATTGCCTCCGCCTTTTTTTATTTTGTAGTAGCGATAAATTAGAGTTTATCGAACATTTAATACGAGTCTTATCAACATTCGCAGAATCCGTTAAGCCGTCCTATTTCGAACGCAACTTCGCCTGGCACGCAATCACCCAGAGTGAGGGTGAAGTGAGTAGTCAACGGGACAATGCAACTATCATGTTCCTGAAACCAATGTCGTACGCTCAGAATCGTGATCGTTTTGGACGTCTAAAGACTACTTTCAATCTCAATGAAGAACCGCAAATAATGTCAGCCTTTTACTTTGATTTGGCGCTTCGCACATTCTTGGCTATTAAGTAAGCTACAGATATACACATCGTAGGATTTCTTAAGGCCAGTATGCAGCTCTCAAGAAAAGCAAAAACTCCATATAAAGTGACGTACAGGAAATGGCTAAGAAATTTTCTTGCGGCAGTACGCAGTTCTTAAGAAATTTGATATGCTTTTCGGTTTTCTAAAGTTTTTTGTGAAAAAAGAGCACAAGGTAACCCATGCTTACAACAGAAATATATGCCCGTTCCATTATTTCTTGAGGAAAGAGTGAGGCGACAGGCTGATGAAGTATGAAATGTCAAAATTCCTTGGACACATACACGAAATAATGGCAATTTTTCTTGACCGTTTTCTTGAGAGTTGCATACTGGCCGTTAAACCGAAATAAATTAAAAATTACACATTATCTACTTTGCAGGGATATGCTACAATCAGGAGCTTGGCCAAAAAATATGGAGTACTTAGGTTGTGACGAATTTCAAGGTGGAAATACGCCAGAAAGAAATATTGACCTTAAGGCAGCGTTTACTATGGTGAGTTATGTAGATATATATATGTACACTGAAGAGCAAAACTGTAACAACAGAACGGACAGTTTGATTTGTGGTAATGTACTTTTTCAGTTTATTAACTTTATGGTAATTAAAATTTGCATTTCGCCTTACCGATGTTTAACTAAACGTTTGACAATAAAAATTTTAAGATTCGCATATGGAAACTCAGAAAAAAACTACCAAATAAAAATTAACTGAATTGTTCCAGTTTTGCACCCTCTTAGTAATTGCTGAATTTTATAATTCAAAGAGGAGTTCTGGTTCATTTCCTGAAATTTTGTAATCAAGGCGCGTGAGACTTTCGCTGTGAGTGCTTTAAGTGCACATACCAAGCAAAAAATAATAATAAAAAAAACGGTCAGAAAGTCCACCCTATAAAAAAAGAAATCATATCGGCCTTATCTTATGGTCTTATGGTTATCTAAAGAAGCGATAAAAGTGCGGACCTCAGTCTGCAAGGTCAAGAGACCACAAAAAAGCAGTTTGCCAGGCTAGGCATATTGGTGGGTCTCTGAATACCAATAAACTTTGGTTCCAAATCAAAACCTACTGCTTTTTCACCACAAAGGACTGACTAAACATTATGTAAGACGGTTTTGCAGCACAAAGATAAGGAGGAAAAAGTCTGCCTTGACAACCAGAATAATTTTTAGTCAGAAGCGCATTTCTACAAAGAAAAATCATTGGATTGGTATTATTTTGAATCGGGCATTTCCAAGTTCTTTATAAACGGCCACACTATTCCACCATAATTTAATATTAATTGATATTTTGACTCTGAGGATATAATTAAACGCTTCCAGTCGGAATATTGGTTCAGGTGCTGCGGAAATGCATCAGGGATACGCCTAACCCCTCAAAATATTTAAACAATTAGGTTTGTATGGGTACATTTAATGAAGTAGGGCCGTGTTACGCCTTAGGGAGCTTGAACTGAGGTAAAATCGATGGTAAAATGAAAAGTGACAATAAATGAACATTTCGAAAGGATTTGGCAATTTCTGACAATATTTTTCGCAAGCTTTTATCAATTTAAACAGGACAATGTTCAGAAACATTCTCCGATACTGGGGCCAAATAGGTAGATATCCCAAGCTTTTATAATCATGGAGTAAACCTGCGTAAAACCCAGATTTGAGTCCGACAGCAAACTTATGGAAGTGTTTGAAAATGCCACTGTTCAATTACGAAAATTCAGCCAACCGCATGCAAGACCTTGGGCACGGCGTTGAGGAAAACGGGTACGCAATCTTTAACAGATTTCATCTAAAAACTGTGCGAAAGTATAGAGAAGCAACGTATACGTCACGGTCATGCGGTGGTGAGTTTTTGTTAACACGCAGATCCAATAAGATAGATCGTGTCAGCCAGCAACGTTTGTAACGGTAGCGCAGCAGCAAATATGACTGGTAGCGGCTACCACATATAGCGACGTACTAACGGAACTCGAAGTACAATTTGAGAAACACCTACGTATCCTGCAACTTAAAAACGAGATCAGGAAACTGGAGGATGTTAATGCGACCCCAACATTTCCAGTAAATTTTAGCAATATCGAAAACGTAACAGACCCCACGTATTAAAACTGCCCCGTGAAATCAGTAGCAGCGATTGATGGAATAGACGTTGTCTCGGAGGGGGTGTATTCTAAAGAAATGGTAAATGTCCGTGGATATCTGTTTTCCAAAAAGCATAAACTTCAAAAATTTTGTTTCCTTATTTGATACAGGCAACTCTAATACTTTCGTGCGGCGATCGTTGGTAGGAAATGTGAATGAACGTATACGTGAACAAAAATCAATGTCACAATTTAAAAGTATGCTAGGACCTGAACAACAAATGCGCATATTAACACACTATAGGAATATTAAAAAACCACTTAGTTCATATATTGCCAGATGAATGGCTACCATTTCCTTTGCTACTCAGTAGAGACTTCTTAAACCAATATGTACAACATATTTTCGTACATGAATAAAAACAACAAAATAAATGAAGTGAATTTTGAGTTTATAAAAAATAATTTGGTTTTTAATAATGGGTGTGTGAAAATTGAGAAAAAGCAGGAAATAAAAACCGATAAGCAAAAAAGTTAGGTGGATAGCAATTTGACAATTTCGGCAACACAGCTAGCATTTAGTGAAATCTGTAACATTGACATTGAGGATAAAGCTTGTGGTGGCAACTATCGATAGTTTGCCACCACTAGCTTTATCCTCAATGTCAATGTCGCGACTATCGATAGTGGGCGATATTTCTTTAAAACTATCGATAGTCGCCTATATTGAAAAGATAAAAAATCTGATTGGGGCGTATTCATAGTCAAAATCAAGTTGCTACTTAAAGTTGGTTGTAACTTTTTTGACAGATAACCCATCCAAAATTATGTCAAAAAGCTACAACTAACTTTAAGGGCCAATTACAAATGAATATTTAAACGGCACTTAGGTTTAATTGTGGATTGTTGTTTAAATGCCATTTAGCCTTCGTTGGGTTTCAGATCAACTTCGTTTTAATATGCCAAACAATTGGCAGCACTGCTGCTTGTTCCTTGAAATTGTTGTTGCATTTGCTTGTTTGTTTACATTTTGTGCTGAACAGCTGATTGTTTCTTGATGGGATTTGGTGGGATTGATTAAGTAACATACCAATCCATCTAGGTTGTTTAATACAAACACAGGGTTGCATATCTTATATTTAAATAGCCAATATTTGCCATTTAAGGGCAGATTAAATATATGATCTAAAAATGAATAGGGGAAGTTAATCAACAATCTCTACTTACGTAGGCCATCTGAAATTGGGCCTAAGTACCAACTATGAATACGCCCCATTGCGTTAAATATACAGCCCAATTCTTAATACATCCGGGAATTTGTTTAACCCGAGAAAGAAATCGTTCAATAATTAACTCCCACTGAAAAACTATCGATAGTGAAAAAAACCAAAACTATCGATAGTGAAAAAAAACCAAAACCATCGATAGTATCGGTAGTACCATCGATTGTTTGCCACCACTAGGTAAAGCATGCGTTGATGGTGGTAACCCTAAGTTACCTTCAGAAGTACTTCCGGAGAGTAATTATGAAGCGAAAATTGTGTTAAAATCAAATAAATCAACCTTCTGCAAAACAAGATGCCTTTCGTTCGGGGAGAAGACTGAGGTAATAGTATCATTACTAAAAAAGGGCATCATCAGGCACAGTGACTAACTTTTATTCATCACCAATTGTGCTTACAAAAAATAAGTCGGGGGAAACTCGAATGTGCTTGGACTGTAATTGATTGCAAAGGACAATTATCCACTCCCATTGATTGAAGATTGTCTGGAATATTTAAGGGCAATAAAATTTCTAACGTCATATATCTTAAATCCGGCTTCTTAAATCTTAAAAAATTTAAATTAGCGTATAGTGAAGTAGAATATCTAGGATAAAAGTATCAGAGTATTGAATACATACATGTAATACTTCTATATTGCTAGTACATTCAAAGTACATTCCCCAACTTCAGAGTGCCGACATATTGAAAAAAGAAAGAGAGATCCGATAAGAGAATGTATTCAAAATGACAATTTTACTTTTCAAAATTCAGGAGCCTTTTAACAAATAAAAAATATAATTTTTGCAAATCTATGAGAAACGCTGGTGGTGTCAGAGGATAAAAGTACCAAATAGAGAAGGACTTGGCATCAGTTGTAAGTATCTTCTATTTTCCAATTTTTCAGCTTTCCAAAGAACGAAGAGCCTCGGAGAAGGTCGACATATCGAGCCCTAACCGCTAAAATAATGTATATATTTTTAACCGACTTCCAAAAAGGGAGGAGGTTATAAGTTCGTCGGAATATTTTTTTTTTTTTTTTTTGTTTTTTTTTTTTTGTTTTTTATTTATGTATGTTACCGCATAACTTTGGACCACGTCAACCGATTTCTTTTTGCATCGGAAAGGTAGTGTCTCAGAGGTTGTCCCATACTAATCTGGTTGAGATCCGATCAGTGGATCATGAGATATATATATATATTTTTTTTTTATATGGTAGTTGAAGTCGGTTTTTTTTTTTTTCTAAAAATTACTAGTTTAAATTTACTTTTTGATGCAGGTGCTCTAAGAGTATTTATAGATCAAAATTAAATTTTGAAAAAAGTTCGCTTACTTTATTTTCGCGGCTAGGGCTCGATATGCATTGCGGCTTGAAGGAAACATGAGGCCGTGAAATTTGTGTTTGTTAGTAAAATTCTCTGAACTGCCCCTGTTATGATATGGCACTTCATTCTATGTAGTAGTTCACAATCACAAAAATTTTCATAGGCTGTCTTTGATTTCGAATTGAAAACTCATTGCGATCATATTGTACTAGCAATATAGAAGTAATACATATGGGCGAAAAATTCTAAACTGGACTTCGGATTTCAGTCAAGTTTGAATTTTTGCGTGAAAATTTGTGAGTAGAGAGGTTTATAGATTTTAAAGAGATTCTGAGAATTTTTTGGAAAAATTTTAATTTTTAAAGTTTTTATAAGCAATTACATTTTTAAGCAATCTCTTTTTTTTCAAAACTCATTTTCTCTTAAAGTATTTTAAGAAAGTCGATGCAACTTTTTTCGTAAGCGTAGTGTCATTGGAGCTTTAAAAAAAAATATTATTATAGTTTAGAAAAAAAAATTAAATTGAAACATTATAAATATTCAAGTTGCATTGGAAAATTCAGAGTTTACCTGGAAGGTTTGAAATTCAAGAAAGTAGCACTAAACCTTTATAAAAAACTAGTTAACAGTCGGATTTCAAGGTGGGCTCTAGGGCTTGAAAACTGCAATAATCAGTACAATATCCCATCGGGCGGGTATAAAAATGCCGCACGTAGATGCCCTAAGTAGGATCTAAACCAATATTGAAAGAACGGTGGCCATAATTAACACTGAAGTACAGATTTCCAGCTACAAATTATACAAAATAGAGATAAAAAATATACTTGAGTTAAA